CTCCTCACGTCTTGATAACAAAAAGGTGCAATCAGGACCAGATCTGCAGTATTAGAACAACGGACAAGTTGCACTGCACAATCCAATTTGTATTTCCATTATATGAGCTCATTCTAGACAATGTGGGTTCTTGCACGATCGCTGCCCTTGGCATACATGGGTTTCCTTTCAAAGCAAGCTCTTCAAGAGAGCTACGTCACAAAACCTGTGGGATGACTGCTCCTGTAAAACAGCATAACGCAAGCAGTGATGATGATACAAAGGGTAATTTGTGTTCTTGCAGATATAGTCATCGCATCATTACACTTCCTCTTGCAAGCACAGGGAATCACATATCCAACATTTTTAGTGCTGGACTGGACAGCCAAGTATTTGGAGAGCTTTTTCCTCTACCATCAGTAGTAGCTTGTATTGTCCTGAGGTTCTGAGATACGAGAGGCAGGGAAGGGCAGCTCTAAGAAAGAAACAGGTCAGCACACTTGTCACGTGTGCCAGAAGATCAATGGGAAATAGCGAAGGTAAAATGGCATTTACTAAGCTGATACTCAAAACAACAGCAAGTTCCCAATCCCTTCGTTACACTGCCTCCAGCAAGAACCCTAACTCCGAGGGCCAGCCTTGCCAGGGTCAGACTGGAGGTACATGCATCAGCTTCCAGCTCACAGCCTGGTTTCATCAGAAGAAAAACCACCCCGTCTGCACCACAGCAGAGCCCAGATGTGAAGCAGCATATATGCAGAGCAGATGATGAGTGAGTGCGCAGTTTTCTGTCTTAACAGCATACATGCACCCATTGTCTCTCACCATCTGCTATATGAAAGAAAAACCTATGCATATATAGCCACTCTAAATTTGCAAGAAGAATAATTCTCAATCCTTTGCATAATTCTAATCCATTTTTCCTACTAACACACACTAATAGGAATGGCTTATAGCCCAGTTTAGCATACTACTAAACTACTGCTATCTATGCTTTACCTCTGGAAGAACAAGATAACCTTCCGGAGCTTCCTTTGTAAAATGCAAAATATTTCAGTCAAAAACATCAAGCTCTGACATTCACATATGTATGCTGGTGCCTAAATTAAGGTATGGATGTTTGAAATTTGTATCCTTCAAGGACAATCTGTGCAGAAGAGATAAACATTATAAAATGTAGAGAGCTAAATAATGAAGTAAAGATTCTGGAATTTAATATAATGATAACTCAAGCACTGAGCTGTATGTGTTTAGGGTTTGGAGGTTTCTTTTTCCTTTTGCAAATTGCATTATGAAAATGATGGTTACTCTAACAAAAAAGAAATGTATTTGCTATGATGAATAGAAGTTCCCAAATATTTTTAGTACAAGACAAGTAATTTACTCAATAAGTGAAAAAGTTTGTTTAGGGAAAAAAAAAAAAAAAAACAACAACACACCACTACTAAACTATAGCAAATGTCCAAAATCAGCAGAACCATAGAAGGGCTCAAAACAGAAGCAGGATGTTTTACAACAGCTGCTCTCTTTCAACTTTCTGTAATTTGTATAGCTACTTCTTGATGGTGGCTTTTTTTGTTGTTTGTTTTATATACAGAACAGCAGGCAGTTCTAGAAACAGGCAGACCAGTGATCTCACTCATGCAACTCTGAAACAGAGGTGGATCGCTGCTATCCCAAACCACCACCATCCAGACACACGCGGGGTCAAGTTCTGTACTCTCACACCAGCTCTGAAAACTTATCAAATATGGCCCTGATCCAGCAGAGCACTTAAGCACATGCTTTACTTTAAACATGTAAGTAATCCTATTAGAGCAAATGAGATTCAGCATAAACCACTGGGCTGAGTCTCAGAATACCTTGGTTGCGGCCCTGATTATGTCAGTGACCGACTGCGTAACCTTGGACAAATCGCTGTCTTTCTATTTCCTCTTTCGCACTTTCTGCATGTTTACGGCATCGCACACTATCTAGACAAAAATAATCCCAATCTGGAATCTTCTGGAAAATGCTGTGCTGCAAATAATGTCAGGGATACTTCCTTTTGGCCCCTTTTCAACTGCTTACCACATGCTTGGAAGTAACGTTCCCCCCCAAAATCACAATGACATCCCCTACCCTTAGGTGTACTTATCCAGTACGGACAACAGACCTCAAAATCATAACTTTGAGTTTAAGAACATGCATTGGGGAGGGACCCCGGCTGCAGGATACCTGCACAAGGGCTGGGACAGGTCCCCAGGTCCTGCGGTCACTGGGCCTGTTCCCATCCCAGTACTGTCAGAGGCCAGGCCTGGCCGGGGTGCCCAGGTGGGACTGCACCTTACTGGGCGGCTGCAACCCCTAAGGCACAAATGGGGCAGTCCTAGGAAAACCAGAAGGCAGCTGGAAGGCAGAATTGATCCATAGGGTGCAGGGCAGTGATATCAAAAGGCCTCACATTCAGTATTTTTAGACAATTGAATATAGCATGCAGTTTTCCAGAGGTAGGCCACGTGCCATCAACTCTACGCCTTGATGATCCCAAGAATGTTTTCAGATAAACAATTGTGGTTTTGCATATGTACACAAACAGGCAACACGTTTACTCGTGCCATCACGCTTCCTACTGCCCAGCACTCGTCACAGGCGATGTCACTGTCACAAGAAGAATATGGATTTGGAGTGTAACGATGAGGCGGGCATGGATGAGCGGGCAGGATACTCAAATGAGTTTCAGAAAGACTTGAGGTGAAATACTGTCCCCAGTGAAATCAATAACAGTTCTCCCATTTACTTCAGTGGAGTAAATATTTCAGCTCTTTTTTCTGTGCCTTCTGGTCGTCTCAGTGCCGACCAGAGTAATCATTTATTTTTCTTAGGAGCATAGGAAAAGGAAAGAATGGATGGAAAGTGAGGGAGGGAAGAAAGCAGGGAGAGAGGGAAGATTATTTCAAAATAAATGTATTCTTCTTTTTGTGGATAAAAAAACAAACCTAACAATAATTGCTACAGTTACAGATTATAAACAATACAGAAGAAGAGGTTAGATCAAGGTAGCTGAGAATCTTTCTAGGAACTCACTTGCAGATTCCCCTTCTGTCCTTGGAACACCTGTACACCACGCTCTGCTTTCCTGACTGAGCACAGCAACAGCAACACAGCTTCGCCTGTGGCAGCCTGCTCAGGATCAGGCCTTCCACATGCAAAGACATCTATTATAAGCCACATGCATTATCAGCTGTACTCTGTTAATTAAAATATTTTCTGCCACACACTGGAAGCCTGGCCTACAAGATACTTGCCAAAATTATGTTCAGGAGCACAGAAACTGAATAGCATTTTTGAATAGGTCAAAAGTTAGTTACTTCTGACTTCTGAATGTGCGCTCTGTTCTCATTGTATGAGGAAGGGAAATACAGTCAAAAGGTTATATCTAACTCTGTGCATTTGCTGCAAGTTAGTGGTCAAAATAAACTTCTGGTTTTGCAACCGTTCACATTTTGGACGTAAAAAAGAAAATCAGAAAGAACTTGTACAGCAAACTGTAACGGCTCCTGAAATAAATACATACCATGCATAACAATAAAGTTAGCAAATAAGTGAAATTTACAGTAAGCATGCTGTCTGTCAGTAAGTGTTGTAAGTTTCCTAAATTAGTTGGCATATCAGACAACAGTGAATATTTACTGCATGTTTTAGAGCTCTTGAAGTCCTTAGCAGCATTCAAAGTTAAGGTTGACATTTCATCTTTAATTCATGCTCCCGTGTCTTTCTATATTAACTACTAACAAAGCAGCATGCTAATAGCCTCCTCATAGAGCATGCGCAGGGCTCGGCCGTGCACACTCCACAGGAGCACGGCTCTGCATCTCTGCTGAGAGTAGATCTGTGTGTTTTGGAAAGGGAGGCAAGCTCTAAGTCACTACTGACAAACTTGAACGTTGCAGCAGCTGAGACCAAGATGATCATAAAGATGATCGCAAATAACAACAGGGAAGGACACTCGTGACTTCTACTTGAAAACAATTTATCTGGGAGAAAGTTTTGTTCAGCTACTAAACCTCTTTACTTGAGCCCACGTTATTTCTCTCTCTGAACATGATCTTTGCATTTCAGCAAACTTTATCTAGGTATTTGGAAAGGATTCTTAAAAACAAACAAAACAAAACAAAACAAAACTGATTTTAACATAAGCTTAGACTTTGTGCAGCACCCTTCTGTTCCCCAGCATCTCATACAGTGCCTCACAAAAGGCCCCAGAGGTTGGACAAACATAGCACCAGGAAAAACACAGTGTGAAAGGGATCTTTATGTGCATGTGTGAGGGCCCAGTGCTAATAGCTCAATGTGCTATTGACACATCACAGTGCAAACAGCTAAGGCTTTTTCAAAATAGCATGAGTCACAGTGTCATTCTTAACTTCGCCTTTCCCAGATTTGGGTAATTTGTGGAACAAATCATCTCCATATTATTAAAACATATTTTCTGTAAATGAAGGTAGCCACCGGGGAATGCCTAGCGCCTGACTGTAACGTTTGCTCCATAAACTACACGCGCCGCAGAGAAGGTGTGAATAAACACAAGTGGGACTGCAACTTCTTCGACAGCCCTGGCGGAATTAAAGCGCTCGTTACCCTTGGGTGCTAGCAGCCGGTGCCCCTCCAGACATCCCACCCTCCGCTCCGCTGGGGTTAGGGGCTGGCCAGGGCAGAGATGGAGCTACCCGGAGGTGCGGAGCGGGGGCAGCCGCCCCCTCCGATCCCTGCCGGGGTCGCCCAAGCTCCGCCGGGGCTCTGCCGGACCCGGGTGGCAGCCCGGGACAAACCGTGCAATGCCCGGCTCGGGAAGCCCCTGCCCGTGTCCCCCGGGCCTGCGGCACCCCAAAGTTGCCGGCGGGCCGGGGCCGGGCTCCGCAGCCCAGCGGGGCGCCCGGGAGGGTCCCTGCCGCCCCCCGAGCCCTCCCCACCGCCGGGAGCCCCCAGAGCATCCCCGGCCCGGCGGGACGCGGGCAATTAACAACCGCGGGTATAATCACCTTGTTGTAGCTGTAGTAACCCAAGCACTGGGCAAAGTCCAGGTTGGAGGGGTCTCCGGGAAGCGAGCTGCCCGCCGCAGCCGGGTAAAATCTTACATCCATGCCGGTGCTTTGGTCCCAGAAGTGCACTTGGAGAGAGCGCCGGGGGCTTTGATAGATCCACCTTCAGGTGCCTTCGCCGGCAGCGGGCACGGACGGGGGGCGGCAGGGGGCTGCGAGGGGGAGAGGCGGCGGCAAAGTGCAGGTAAACGGGAGAGGAGGAGGAGGAGGAGGAAGAAGAGGAGAGGAGCGGGGAGCAGGGGTGGCGGGCGCGGAGCCCAGGTGGGTGCCCGTCCGCCGGGGCGGCCGGGAGGAGGGCTGCTGCTTTGGGAGAGCCCGGTGCCAAGCCACAGGCTTTGCCTCCGCATTCAGGAGCAGCTGCCGTACACAAAGGAGCCACGCGCCCAGCACCGACCGACGGCCGGCCGGACAGACACACAGCCAGCCAGCCACACCGACCTCCCCAGCGGCTCCAACCGGAGGGGAACGGGGAGGGGCGGGGGGAGAACAGAGGGAACGCGATGCGGGCTGGGGAAAGGAGGGGGAGAAAGAGGGGCAGCGCCCCCGGAGTTGGATGCAGCGGGGGCTGCGCGGGTGCGAAGTGCCGGAGGAGCCGGCTGGGCGCTGGCAGCGCTCCCCGGGAGGAGCGGCCGGGCCCCGCGCCCCTCCCCGCCCGCCGCCGCCCCTCCCGCCGCCCGCCCGCTGCCGCCCCCCGCGGCCGGTGCCGGAGCCCCGAGCCCCGGAGCCGCTGCCCATGGCCGTCCTCGCCGGGCGGTGAGGAGCGGACTTGCCCCGCTGCCGGCTCCCTGCCCTCCTTCGGGCCCTCCGTAAGGCGCCCTATCGATCGGTCCCGCTGCCCGGCGGGGGGGAGCGGAGGAGAGCTTTGTAGCGGGCTGCGGGCACCGTCCCGAAGGCGCCAAGTCGGTGGGTGCCCGTGCAAAACATGCACCGAGGAGCCACGTTTGTTTAGCCGCCGGGCTGCCCAGTCCCGGCATCTTGCGGCAGAACTTTTGTGGGAACCGCTAAGGCAGGAGGGAAGGCTGTTTGGCCTCGCACCCGTGCCCCGCAAACAAGGGGCGAGGGAGAAAAAGGATGGAAGCGCCCTTGAGTCAAGGCTTCAAAAGTTCTGTGGTGGGGAGAGACCTGTCCTTTGGGCCCAGGGCTGTGTCCCAGCATCCTTGACTGTCTCTGGTTTACTCCAAAATACCAACGACAACAGAACTATACCAGGTTTAGCTGAATAACACCAGCAAGACCTTCTCCGAAGGCTGTTTGCCCACATTTCTGCTGTGGCAGCAGGGACCAGGGGTCAGGGACCAACGCTGCAGTCCCACCTCTGCCCAAAACCTGCCCCAGGGGCTTAACACCCCACACTGCCCTGCCCCGCAAGAGTTTGCACTGGGTAGGTAGATGGGGGAGCACACTCCAAGTCAACAATCACAATGTGTGGAGAAAGGGAACATCTTCCCAACTGCGTTCCTAGAAGTCTTGCAGATTTTTGTGGCACAAATATTGTGGCAGGTTCCTGCTGGCACAGGAGGCGCCAGATCGCAGAATCAGTAATGCCTTTGTTCAGGGTGTTGGTACCCAAGTGTCGTAGCTTGAAGCCAGGAAAGATCTCTAAAGTGACATTTTGCTCTAAGAGCAGAATTAAACATAGCGTGGATGTACATCTGTATTTACATGGAGTATTTATAATCTAGCTTTCTAGAAAAATGTGTATGAACTGGTAAATGCCTAAGTAGAAAAGAAAGCAGGCATATTCAGCCAGATACTTAATCCAATTTCATATTCGTTCAGTGTCAACCATTTCTAACCAAAGGGGAAAACTGCAGAAATCAACTCTGTTGCTTGAAGGGGAACAGTTGAGAAGCACACACTTCGGAGCATTCTTGCAGGCACATCCCATACCTATGGCAAAAATGATTTATGCTTCTTAGAGAAAGAAATTGTTCAGAAATAAAGACAGCCCAGCACTGAATCCATATCAGAACACAACTTTGCTTTCCTCCAACAGCAGTGGCAGAAAAGTGGTAATGTACAGGCACAGCAAAATCCTTTTGCCATTCCAGCTGAGGTTAATGAAGTAATACTTGCTTTGTTTTATTCATTGGGTGGCAAACGTTTCTGAAATCAAGTGTACAAGTTAGAATAAGCAGATCCTCGGGTACAGGAAGAGATTATTGGCACTGAGTCCTGATGTGCTCCGCTACATAAATACAGGCATTTCCAGACTGCCTTGCTCTGGTTCTCTACTCTTTTAATGCAATCTGAAAGCACGCTCCCTTAGAATTCACAGGGAAATTGAGCAAGGAACAAACAGCAAATGGTTGCAAGTTTAGGACTTGATCCCGTTGTCTTACTGAAAGGAGGTCCTGAAGGGCTGCAGCCCTACACAGCCTATGGCTCCCAGGCTACTCATAACCTCCAAAGCACTCAGGCTGCTGCAGGACTCCAGCTGTGGCTGGTGAGGGGTGCTTTGGGTGCCCCCCAAGGTGCTACCCAGTCTGAACAGCTTAGCTCCTCTCTCCCATCCCATGCCCCCGACACGAAGGCAGAAAAAGGAGCACACAGGGCAGCAGGCGGCCTTCAGGTCATAAGGCTTCGTTCAGGAGCTAAGCAGATGATGGTAAAGGATGAATCAAAGCATTGCAGTGCAATATGCTGTTCCCAGCACAGTTTCTTCAGAAACTAAAAGAACAAGCACAGGAGGAAAAGCCCAAAATATTCCATCTTGTCCTCACTGGAGCAGGGAGTTCATATAAAATTGAAATGAAGAAAAGATGTATTTATTTGCTTTTTTTTTTTTTTTTTTTTTTAATTCCAGCATGGTATCTCCAAAATATTACTTGGTGAAGGGCTTTGAAATACTGGCTATATTTACAATTATGAAACTAAAATGTAGAAATTTAGTGATTTTTCCAACTAAAAAAAATCCTTCTCCTGACCATAATAAATTGAGATCTCTGCCAAGTGCCAAAATTCAGTCTTTTGCAAAAGTAATAAGACTGCAGTGAAATTAAAGAGTGATTTGAAAAGGAACAGCAGTGAAACGGGGATATATGTGCTAATTTGTTTTTTTCTTTTTAAACAAAATATTGTGTTTGATGTGATAATGCACCAGAGGGAATTTTACAATCTAAAAAATCAGGCAAGCATGTTTTCTTTTCTTGAAACCTCTTCAATGTAGTTTATTAAATCAGTAAACTTGAGTAATCTCTGCTACACTTTAAATCCATATACATGACGTCAAATCTGGTTGTTAATAACAATGTATTTATCTCAGGAGTACATTAAAGATGGAATAGGAGCCAAAGTATGTATATCTTTCTGTACATATCACTTGAAAGGAATCCAACAAATTCTTCTCTCAAGCTATTCACTTGCAGATCTTTCAATAAAACTATGGCTTTGGAATTCTACTTTTGTTTTTTCTTTCAGGGCAGTTGGAAGAACGAAGTATTTGCAACTTTAAGTATTCCCTTCTTTTCTGTTGATTTAATAAAAGTAAGCACCTACCTACTATACATGCAGTATTCCAATAGTTTCCTTGGTAGCCTTGATTTTGAAGAAACTTTTTGAAAAGCTCTGTTCCATAAGGATTTGAATGTATGCCTACTAATGCCAACAATTATGATTCAGGCAGTAACACACAAACTGTGACTTTGTTCCATCTTCAGCTATACTCTCTTCTGAGTCATCATCACAATTCAATTTTAAAAGCCATTAAGAACACTCAAGCTGCTTTTCTGATGTAAGAGCAGAAATTGTATTGGAGTGAATCAGTCATATACAAACTTGAAAATGTGCATGCACAAATTCTCACTGCTGCCCAGAAACCTTTCAACTTGCATAGGTAAATACCAATGTTTCAGGTCTCGCTGATTTCCATACAGGCCTGGCATGTCCTTTTCTAAGGACCAGGACATAGGAAGGGAATGTGTTCAATGGTTATGGTTGAATTGCTTTATCCAGTGATCTTCAGCTATTACCCTTAAAGCCTCTGCAAACTACTTTGCAAACCCTGTGTCAGGCTCCCAGGATGTAATACAGATACAGCACCACAGACTCAGTAATATTTTCTTTCTTTTTACTACAGAGAAGCCAAAAGCACTGGGATGAGATTTACTCCTCCAAACAGCAGAGCTGGGAAGTAACCCTAGAGAGAAGAGCAGACACACCAGCACCCTTACATCCAAACATCCAGATAGCCCCTGAAGTGTGCCACGAGTACTAGTATAACAGCAACCAGTAGTAGTAACACTGGCAGACACAGACAACAAACATGAGAGGGGACAGAAAAATGAGGAATAAGGGAAGAGGTGGTGGGATGAACAAAGGTTAGACTGAGATCCTTCAGTCAGAGGAATCAACACAAATAAAGCACCACCACTCATTTTCAGGGTGCAGGCTCCACATCTGATGGCTCCTGGGAGTCCTGGGAGGAACAAGACGAGGTGGGAGAGCACAGCATCCTTAATGTTACCTCCTAAGGAACACTGCCTTGGTTCCTTCCCACCAGAGCAGCTGTGGAGAATGAAAGGGCACGAAACAAAAAGAATGGAACACAGAAGGAGAAAGAGATAGAGCAGCAAGCAGGTCTGGTTTAGAAAAGAATCTAAAGCCTCCTACAATCAATAGGAAGTCCCTTTAATTGATTGCAATGGGCTTTGAATTAGACCTATATTCTACTTATCAAGTACAGCTGCTGAGAATCAATAATATTTTGACTTGCCCCTCAAACAACAACTACAATGGTAACTTTTGGCTAAGAAATAGTACAATGCATTTTAATTCATTAGAGTTTATCCCACTGATATACCCTTCTCCTCAGATTGTAGGGTCAGCTACTGTTTACAAGTGATCATGCAGGCATGAATATCCTACATAAATGAGGCAATAAAGGAAAAACTGTTGTTGTTAGCATTAATTCAGATCAAATATTCATTGATATCTACATTTCTCAGCAAGTATCTCCAGCAGAGATCAATAAATACTTATTAGTCACTGACCATGTTTCCTGCAGTAAAGGAAAGAATGTCAGCCAGCAGATGGGAGCAGCCAAGTAATCTGGGAAGCTGGAGTTTCATACTTGTCTACCAGCTGATCATTTACCTTCTCTTTGTCTCAGTTGCCACAGCTAGAAAACTATAGATCAAAGAATAATGACAAAGAAAAATCTATTTTTATAGTCATTCCTTAAAAATACAAATTATTATTTAACAATACAAACATGGAGTGCTGCAGGAAAAAAAAAAAAAAAAAAAAAAAAAGAATAGAAAAGAAAAAAAAAAACTATCAAAAATGAAAGTTCTTGGTTTGTGAAAATTTGATTTCTTTTGGGCCCAAGTCAGGAAACACAGGACTTTATGAAAAAGGGAAAAACAAAATGATTAAGCTTTTCAGACATTTACATGTACCTGATTTGATATTTCTGTGCATTACTGAAGTCTCATTTTACCTTAAGTATTTTACCACCTCAACTACTCACATCTAACAAATTTAACTTTATTCTAACAGAAAAATAAGTATTTAAATTTATTAGCCATTTACAGAGCAAGGACAACCACTAATGCTGCTGAACTGCAAAAGCAAAAAGGCTTCTGTCGCTTTAAAGAAACTA